TCACCATCACCATGCTGTGAGATATGGCACACACCAAAAACTGGTCGCCATAAAATATCATATTCGGAGTCCTAACAACTTTCTAAGCCCGGATGCGCAAGAGACGATATGCAATAATATTAACATTATGTAGATTATTACCTTAAAATATTGAAATATCATCAATATGGTCCCCAAATTTATTTTAATGCCCATTTTAGGTGAAATTATAGAAGCGTTTGACAATATTTTGCAATTAGGAGCTTATGGATGTGACACATTCAACGCGTTTGATTTAGTACGTATTTTCTGATAATACATTTGAATTTGATTCATAGTATTGAAATTCATGAAATAGTTTTCAGTTTCACATTATATTATCCTCTAGGAAATTTAGAAGATATCTCATCCCAACTAATATTATAAATGCGAAAGTAACTCTGTCTGTCTGTCTGTCTGTCTGTCTGTTACGCTTTCCCGCTTAAACCTCGCAACCGATTTTGATGAAATTTGGCATAGAGATAGTTTGAGTCCCGGGAAAGAACATAGGATAGTTTTTATCCCGGTTTTTGAAACAGGGACGCGCGCGATAAAGTTTTTCTGTGACAGACAAAATTCCACGCGGGCGAAGCCGCGGGCGGAATGCTAGTAATGATATAAAGCAACTGCGCAATATCCACCAGAAACTATTTTGTAAAAATAAAAGAAGACCACACTGTCACATTCTCATAAAACACATGAGTTACGTTCCCAAATATTATCCAATTGAGCCAACCTTGCGTTAACTATATAAAAATAGTTAATTACATAATCGTTCGTTATTAAAGTCGGGCAAATTGCTCTATCACAATGAAGCCGCCTTGGCCCGCCATTGGCCTCCATTTTAACCGGGTTACGTGTACTATTGTTTATTTTGCGAGTGTATCAGAATTCACTGTATCTTTCCCCGAATTGGGGATCGTAGAATTGTGTTTGTTAATGGAAGTTCACGTCTTGATAGTATTACTAGATTTATGTTTCATTGTCTCTATCGATACCTTTTTAATTAAAGTCTCATTGATGAATAGTCGTGTGTGTAAAATAGTATGCTCTGACCTGCTTACTCAAATACGTAGCACTGTGATAACGTCTGAGTTCAATTAATCGGCTTCAATGAATATTGGTTACATAATAATATCAATAACTTTTCTTCGTTATAAAACTTCATTCATTTTAGTATCTAATTGGTTTTTAGCTAACAGTCGTGTTTCGTGTTTTTCCGTTACCTACAGTTTTAACAACAAATGCGTTGGTTTTCTAATTTCGCCATTTTGTAATCTACGCCTCTACATCTCGTATAAATAATAATATGTAATTCACAAGACTTTAAAAACAAATTTCAGGTAACCTGCTTCGTTAGGTCTATCACCAATTGACAGTGCTTTCCATTTGTCTCGTAATTTTCATAACCCAGCCATTAATATGAATATTCCAATTAAATAGAGTTACTTGGCGTGAGATTCTAATATCTATCATGCTCGTATTACTATAATTATCGCAGTGGCCTTCTGCGATTCTAATGTATTCTTAAACAAACCGATGCACGAGTAGAATGGTGCCCACGCTTGAATAAAATTAGCATTTTCATAATTTATATCCCTTTCAGACCATCTGCTAACTGCTAAGTATAAGTTAACCATTGTCTTGGTTCTTGTTGATGTATCGAACAAAGAATACCTTACCTATCTTCTCCATCATCTAAGTTGTAGGCGTCCATTTCGATTTCGTTAATTTAAAGGCAGAATTTCGTAAGACCAGTTGCTATATCTTTTTTAACTCTACGTCCTTAATTTGAGTATGAAAATAAACAAAAGACTAACGTAACATTTTGCACTGTTCGAAAACGACACCTACCTAAGTATTTGCCGAACCGTTTATGCCATGGTGTAACTAACTAACAACCAAGTCTTGGTTGCCATAATAACTATTGCAAACTTATAGAGCACGGTTATTGGTCACGATGACGAAACCCGTGGGCATGGAACCGTAAAAATTTCTTTGTCCTATTTATAACCTCCACGTTTTGCAATCTATCCACAAATAATAAAAATTATGGCGCGAAACCCGTTCAATTGATATTTTAATATATTTTATTACTTGCGAGGGTTGTATTCTCGTGATCAAAAGCTATTATTTACATAGCAACTCAAGCATTGAGTTCAAAATTTGAATAAAGTTAAATTGTGATTGTAAACTAACTTTATGGACATGCGTAAAATCATTTGAAACGAATATTCCGGTCACGATATAAATAAAAAATAACATTGATATTCAAATTCGGAGCTAAATGGAGTTCGTGTTGAAGTAAATCAATTTATTCAGAAACTTTCTCTTCCTTTATTAAGGTCCAGTCAGTTTGGGCGTGATGAAGAGATTTCCATCAAATTTTATTACGTGATCTAGCTGTGATTTTAATCAAGTCATCCAAACACCGTATTAAGCAAAATATTCTCCTTTCAGGACGTTTATAATGGTTTTAAAACCTAATACCGATACAGCTGTAAAAACAGCGCCATTCCTAATAGGCACGAATCGAGCCGTGTCCGATAACAAATCTGCGCTGTTATAAAATCACTTCACAATAAGGCAGCTGTACCAACACCGCTATAGCGTTTTTCGACTTTTTTCGGCATTAAAAAACCTCATTCTTTTTCTTGAGTGCCAGCTAGTTTTCGTCTCCGTAACCAAACTCAAAGGTAAGCGCGAGTGCGTGGTCGACCTTAAAAAAGATTTTCATGCGACGTTGAACTTTGCTGCTTAAGGAATAGGGCCTCCGAGTAACAATGTGAGGGTTAATTATCGCTCAAACCATTGCAGCAATTGCTTTTCAAATCGGTCCATTTTTTGTGCCAACAATGGGAACTCTGGCTGTTTTGTCGCTTGGCCGATTTCGCATCGGCCCTAGCGATCGCGTAATTGATTGTTTCGCGTAAGAAATCGAATCGTTAGCCACGGCGATAAATCGATAATTGAATTTTAACGTTTTCCATTACCGCCTATCGGTGCAGATAGATTGATTCCTAATAATTGTTGTGTTTAGATTCTCCATGCACACGCGCGGTTATGAAACCCGCGGCCCTCGCGTGATTTTGAAACTTTTTACGGCGAAATAAGTTTACGATTATTTACGGTTCTGCTGGAAGCAATTTTATTGATCGTATTCAATAATCCCTCGGCGGTTTGTTTGTATTTTTAGAAAGGCATGCCTTACGGGGGCTCTCAAATTGCTAAAGCCAAACGATTAACGATGACAAAACTCGATACTCGGTCATTTATGTTCATATTTTATGTAGCGCGTTTTTATACATAAAACCAAATAAAGTGTCATTACAACTTTATCCGCTTTGACCTCAATTTATACCAGATTTAAATACTAAAACGTCTACCTGCATAAAAACGGTGCCGGATAAAAAATACGGAGCTAAAACCATTTCAATTTGAGCCGAACTCGATCTGCGCACGTCAAAAACACGTTCACGGACCGAAACCGGTGTTTGACGAATTGTAAATCGAATACTCGGACTCGGCATTTCCGCTCGCAACCGATTATTTTGAATCGAGAATCGTTCGAATAAACATGTGGGGTGCGAACGCGGTGCATTGTGCGTCCGAAATACGAATTTAAACGCAATGTTACCTGCTTCCCGTTCGTGAGAACGCGGCGTTAAATTGATGATGTTGGTATGGAATCGTATAAATTAGCGGTCTATTTGTAAAGCTCAACAAAGCTGTAATTGATAATAAATGATAGGGAAAGAACGAATTACAATCACGATCGTATTCGCTGGGCATTCATTTTGCGGGATTGTAATGACTCTCGCATGTAGACCGTGAATCTGCGTAAGTAAAAAGGCTAATTTAAATTCAATCTGATATTTGTGACATTTTAATGCCCGTTTTCACCATCATTCCCTATGAAAACAAAATTCCTGTTATGTGTTACCATACGGGTCACTTAAAAATTAGGGATTGTTGGTGAAAACGGCATTAATTTCTTGATCACCTCATCTAAAGAAGTAAATTACGTACCAAAAAGACAATTCGAAGCATCAAAACCTTGATCAGACTTTAGTAACACTGCCTAAATTAGACTTTACTACACACATTCCAGCTGATATCCCACAAACACCAATAAGTAACCACCAAATAGCTACAGGATGCTTAAATTGGAAACAAAACATAAGTTATGTCGTTATAGGTCTATAAATCGAATATATTTAGTAAACTCAGCCCAGTCGGTCGTATTTTCAAAATATTGACGGCATTCGGCATAGAAATAGAATGTTTACAATTTGATTGGCTATGTTTAGGAGCCTATGTTTTATTGAGGAAGTTTAGGTGGTTACGGATTTATTAATAACTTAGTTTCTAATTATGTAAGATTCTAGAGTATTTTAAAACTAAAATAAGAGGTATTTCTTTTCTGTGACTAAAATTGGATAACTATCGCCACTAATATGCGGAAAATATTATTATCATATAACAGATTTCAATTTACAAAATATACTGTTAGTAAAATATTAAACTATCATACTTAAACAAATAATCGTCTAATCGCAAACATCCAATTTGTAACTTTTGGCTTTGTATGATTCTTCTGTAAATTGGAGTGTCATGGACATGGCAATGTAGAGTCGCTCGAAAGGCCTCAGAATCTACTCGTAAAATAAATTCATTTATTTTTGCAAATAGGCTTTTAGAAAGCACTTTTACACGTCCCAATATTAACCCTACCACTGCTTCCGGACAATAAATGGGCCAGTGCTGAGAAGAAGCAGCGCAAGAAACTCAGTCACTATTGTCAGCTTCCTTTTCAAGGGTTTACAGTCTTTAAAATATACAAAATATTATAGTCTAAAAATAAATAAAAAAGTAATAGTTATAGTCCCAGCCTTATTCTCACACTCCTCAATCATAAGAATGTAGTCCCAGCATTATTTCAAAATACATCAGACTATAACCTTCTCTCTCTCCTTTTCCAGGGTTCCACCTGAGTGGAGTGGTGCGGGCGCCTGCAGCCGTGCCTCCGTGCTCGGAGCCCGAACGGCTCTACAGGGTCACAGTCTCGTTTGACAGGTAAGTTTGACAACTGACAGCTTCATGAGGTACACCTGGGGGGATACTCCCAAAAATGTTATGTATCTGAAGTTTCGAAAGTTTATACACCACTAAATTTTTATCACAGAAAAAATTTTAACAGGTTATAAATAAATATAAATATCCTTGGACATTTTACACTACGCCGCTAGCCCCAAACTAAGCAAAGCTTGTACTATGGGTACTAGACAACGGATATAAACATACTTAAATATTTTTTTTTTTTTGTAAATACATACATATTATACATAGAAAACACCCAGTCCAATACAAACAAATATGTTCATGCACACAAATGTTTGTACTGTGCGGGAATCGAACCCGCAACCTCCGGAATAGTAGTCCGATTCGAACCACTACACCAAACGGCCGATAATGTAGAAACGTATGGAATATTGAAAACAAAAGAAAAAAGAAATGGTTTTCATGAAGTTAATTTTTTTATTAAATTTTCGTTAGTCCGTATTTTACGCGTCACAGCTGGGTCACTCCGCTGCTCGCTAGAGTAGTCGTACGCGCTCGCACGTTGCATCGATCTGTCTGTCTCGCTCACGCCTCGACCACGCCTCGACCACGCTTCCAGTGTTATTATTACATACTTAGCTAACTTAGACCATTTTTAATTTTAATAAGTGTTACATCTGTACCCCCAGTGAAAAGGGATCTAACTCGACTTAGATCAAAATTGACTTTATAACATAATGTAAATCTCTGAAAAATTAGCTATTTTTGTATCTAATCGGTATGTTTCTACGACGTATAGAAGAGAAAATAATTTTGTGCCAAATGATACAAGTAACGCTTTGTGAACTTTTCTTTCGTGTATATTGATACATGTCTACTTTTAACAAAGTGTACCGGAGGCTTCTTTCACTTTTTTGTTGTGTCAAGAGGTATGACTCGTGTTACTACTTTTTACACGATTGAAGTTGTGCAGATTGAATTTGTGATTAACAATATAAGATGACGTGTAAAATGTTGTAAGTTACTTAGATCAAAAACATTTGAAAATCGCAACTAATAATTTGGTTAATTATTTGGTGTAAAATGATACAACTTAGCCCAAACGTCAGATTAAAGGAAAAAATAATGTCGTAGTTTATAAATCAAAGAACTTTAGTTAATAGTTTTAATAAATCTACTAGTAAAACATATAATTGAATTCATAGTGCCTAACGTTGTCAATAAAAGTACTTAATAAGTGCATTATCGAATTTACAAGAGCTCCAACTACCAGAAATCTTTATAAACAAAACTCATCACCTTTGACAACAAATTGAACTGGGCGAGTCATGTCGAGAACAAAATAAAAATGGCCTGTATAGCATTCCATCAGTGCAAGAGACTCATTGTATGGCCCTCTTACACATATTATTATGGATCACTTGTGTGGTGGCACAGAACACAACTATCCACAGCAAGATCAAAACTCCAAAGCCTGCACCGCCTAGTAAGCATAGCGGGCACTAGTTGTATGAGAACCACTCCATCGACATCACTTGAGTACCTTCTGAATCTTAGATCTTTAGACCTCTTCATTCAGGAGGAAGCGCAAGCAGCCGCTCTAAGACTTAAAGGTAAGAACGGCATATAAAAGCAAAACAAGGAGACAGGACATTCCACGATCCTGCACAAAACCCTAATAAAAGAAATACCTCTCACCGAGGCACCCATCGACAGAATTCTCTGTGTTCACATCTTCGACTGGAGATATAATATCCAGCTTACAGCGGAAACGAAAGATTGCTCTGGAATCAATGAAGTTAGGATATACACTGACGGCTCCAAAACCCAAAAAGGTACGAGAGCTGGTGTCTTCTCGAATTACCTAAATATACTAAGAATATCTACAACACTAGATACACACAATACAATTTTCCAAGCAGAATGCAATCAGAGCAGCACAGGCGATTGCAACCATAGACATCCGAGGTCTGAATATAAAAATAATCTCAGATAGTGCAAGCAATACAAAGCAACTTAATATACTACATTATAATACTTATATTGGAATGCCATGACGCGCTCCTAAGTCATTTTTAGACGCAAATGGCGTTACCCTGCACTCCTGAAGTGGATCAAATCGTACAGTAACTCCTTGAGCAACGACGCAGCAGATGAACTGGCCAGAAGGGGATCGTACACGACGGTATTTGGTCCGGAACAATTATAATGCCGATACCATAAGCACAGATCAAGACCTGGCTGCGCTCCAAAATAGAAAAATAACACCACACAGAATGGAAAGATTGTGAAAGATGCAGGCAAACAAAAGATGCAGTTGTGGATATATCGAAAAAGTTTTCCCGCAGCCTCATAAGACTAAGCATTGACAACATCCGCAAGGTCCTAAGTGTAATAACAGGTACGTTAAACAAACACCTACACAATATAGCTGTTACAGACAGCCTACTGTGCAGAAGATGCATGGAGGCAGAAGAAAAACCGCAGCACGTGTGCACAAGGAGTGCACAAGCGTAGCAATCAACAGGCTCAAATTCTCCAATCACCAGGGTCGCTGCAGAAGGCCTGTAGCGACCTAGATAGGCTGCTGCTACCTGGGGGGGATCTGGAGCGGTTGAAACTATCTACGAAAGTCCTTATGAATTGAACTATGTATAAAGTAAATAATTATGTAAATGACATGTGTTGCTGGACTTTATCTGCTTAGCTCGCAAGTATAACATGTCTTGTTAATTCATGTCTCTATTGATTTAAGAAGATTCCCGCCGTAGGCAGTTCGATATTTTCAAGTTATTTATGATTTAAGAATAGGCTGACAAGGGTGGCTAAATTTCTTGCGCTGCTTCTTCTCAGCACTGGCCCATTTATGTCCCAAAATAATTGTAGGGTTCAAGTAATACTAGGACGTGTTAAAGGGCTTTTTAAAAGCCTCTTTGTTAAAAACAAATGCATTTTATGACTTTACTTTTATATTATCCTTCTGTAGCCAAAAAGCAATCAATATAGCTTGACATCACCATCTCTGGTCCAGGGTTTGATTCTTATTAGGGTAATTGTAGAAAACAAACTTTTCTCTGTCTCCTGTCTAATTAGTTGATGTGAAACCATTGTTGTTTCTGGTCTTTACTACACAATTGCTTCAGCTATACTTACTTTAAAATAGGAGATAATGTATGTGATTTAGGCCGATATCATTCATGGTATATGGTGTAATAATTAATAAAATAGTAGTTTCAGATCAGAATAAACATTTAAGGAGTAAATAATTAGAATCCACTCTAAAATTCTAGCCTTATTCCTTTACAATCGCCACTTATATCACTTTACACATAATTATTAGGATACTTAGATCGCTATTATGTTAGTTAGATCAGTTTACACATTTTTTTTCTCATCACAAAATTGGTGTATATTGATATAAGTAGAAATTTTTGGACGATTTACCCTAAATAACCTGAAATAATGATTCCTCATAGTGTAATTACTAATGTTTGTTTTACAACTTTTTCTAAAATTAAAGAAACAAAAAAATATCAACAGAAATGGCGTAAAATGTATCACTTTACACTTGTTAGCGGGTGGTCAATTCAGTGTGGTGTAAAATGATTTATGTCCCATTACATCACTTTACACGAATGTAAAGTTGCCGTGCATGGCGATATAACTGGGTTTTTATTTAATTACGAAAAAACTACATGCTATATTTCCCAAACTGGCACACTGCCTAATCATATCTAATATTACCTTTCACCTAAAAAATATTTTACCCAGTTATCTCTAATAGCGACGAAGCAGGATTTTTTTTAACTTCAAATGCGATTTCCCAAAAATCACCATTTTCGACTTAGATCCCTTTTCACTGGGGGTACAGACATTATTGTACTTAAATAGTGCTAGCGACGCGTGGGTCAATAAATTACCAATTTTAGGAGGATATTTTGAGTCACTTTATTTTACTCTTTTTTTTTTTGCACAAATGGGATCAGTATCAATAACTCATTACCCAGAATTTTTTTTTCGGTGATTAAAATTTAGTGGTGTATACTAGTATGAGTGACAGAGACAGTCTTGTAGGTGGACGGTGCATAATAATATAGTGGCTAATAAATAAGCCTTTGAAATATGACTGATCATATTGTGAGCGTAATTTGGAACTAATCTCGCATAATCTCTACATATTAATTGAACGTAATACCACGTGTATTCTATTCTTATTTTTAGTACAAAGGTCCGTATTTAAACTTTACCTGGGCATTATTACTCCAACCTTCGATAAAGCTCACAAAAACCGTAAACTGGAACTGTAATTAGCATTTTTTTAAAGATCAACACAACCTTGTCATTTACCACAATTAATAAGCAGCCTCTAATAAATCAGTAGCCCAAAAAACGTAGGTAGAGTCAGATACAAAATATGTCAGAACTGGGTTTTAACCTGTGTAAAATATTTACAAATAAAAGCTTTACTAACTTTTAAATACATATCAATGTTTTATGTAAAATGATCTAAAAACAGGTCTCATAATGACACCAAAAAATTATATAATGTCTATCCATTTACTAATAGAGGAACGAATCGGTATCTTATAGGTTTACAACAAGACAAAAGCTTGTTCTATTTTGTTGTTCTAAAAAGGCGTTCTTTCTGAGCCCGACTGTACGATGTGCCAAACAAAAACAAAAGGTGTCAAAGACCCGCCTTTGTTGGCCGCGTGGGTCTAACCGATTCAGGGGAGGCTCTTATTAACTTAAAGGGCAACGCACTAGAATAATACCTTTTCGGAAGAATTATCATAATAGAGACGATAGTTTAGATAGAGCTTTGTAAATTAAAAAGAAGTGTTTGATATTAAAAGAATGTGCAGCGTAGTTTTACAACAAAATACGATCTTGTATTGTTATGTTCCAATACCCCCAATCCGTATGTAAGTTTGTAGTTAATTATATTTATTTGATTGTGTAAAAACAATAACAAATTAGCCAGCACAGATTTTGTGCTCTACTTACTCGTAGTTTCAACTAAATCCGTTTTGCTGTTAAGTGTCAGTGATCTAATGTACGAGCAACGCCATCTGTTGGTGACGATCGATAGTATCTCCCATTCAAAGCAGTGCTTAATGAATTCATTCATAATTTCATTGTAACTAATGATATTTTAGGCACAGATAATAATATAGGCAAATTCCTGGAAATCTCCCAATACTAATACCAAATACCGTCACCGAAATCTAAAATTAGGCCGATACATGCTCTTATCAACCTGATTTGTCTACATGTGACTGAAGATCAAGTCTTATTGATTCATTTCAAATCACTTTGGCAGGTCATAACAATTGGCATGACTGACCTGGCGATATACTGAAAACAAAATACTTAAAAACATTTACTGCTTTGTATGAGACTCTGTACTGGTGAATTTGTCATTAAAATGCTATTTTTAAGCTTTGACCTCCCAAACTCATTTGTCCAGCGTGGTTAGTGCAAGCCAAATCTTCCTTTGGCCTTTTGTAAATTAGAGACGTAATCTTAATAACCTGTGTGCCTACCATGAGTTTACGTTAGGTGTGCTCGCTAGCGACTGCGTAAAAAAATGACATTTAAATGTATGACATATTGTGCAGCGCCCCTAGCGGCTACTTTCAAGAAATAAAATCTTCATAGAATCTTTTGACGTATTCGCTAACGTAAACTCATGGTAGGCACACTGATTAGAACTTTAACGAGGCGTTAATTCATTTGTTTCTTATCCACAGATGCAAAATAACAGGCGTGACATGCAGCTGCGAGGCGCGAGACATCTTTTGGTGCCAGCATGTCGTCGCGCTGGCTCTCTACCGCATCAGGAACGCCGACTCCGTGCGGCTGCGGGTGCCTATATCAGGTGAGCATTCCACCTGCAGTCAGGAGCATTACAGCATGTAGATAACAGGCGTGACGTCAGCTGCGAGGCCAGAGACATCTTCTGGTGCCAGCATGTCGTCGCGCTGGCTCTCTACCGCATCAGGAACGCCGACTCCGTGCGGCTGCGGGTGCCTATATCAGGTGAGCATTCCACCTGCAGTCAGGAGCATTACAGCATGTAGATAACAGGCGTGACGTCAGCTGCGAGGCCAGAGACATCTTCTGGTGCCAGCATGTCGTCGCGCTGGCTCTCTACCGCATCAGGAACGCCGACTCCGTGCGGCTGCGGGTGCCTATATCAGGTGAGCATTCCACCTGCAGTCAGGAGCATTACAGCATGTAGATAACAGGCGTGACGTCAGCTGCGAGGCCAGAGACATCTTCTGGTGCCAGCATGTCGTCGCGCTGGCTCTCTACCGCATCAGGAACGCCGACTCCGTGCGGCTGCGGGTGCCTATATCAGGTGAGCATTCCACCTGCAGTCAGGAGCATTACAGCATGTAGATAACAGGCGTGACGTCAGCTGCGAGGCCAGAGACATCTTCTGGTGCCAGCATGTCGTCGCGCTGGCTCTCTACCGCATCAGGAACGCCGACTCCGTGCGGCTGCGGGTGCCTATATCAGGTGAGCATTCCACCTGCAGTCAGGAGCATTACAGCATGTAGATAACAGGCGTGACGTCAGCTGCGAGGCCAGAGACATCTTCTGGTGCCAGCATGTCGTCGCGCTGGCTCTCTACCGCATCAGGAACGCCGACTCCGTGCGGCTGCGGGTGCCTATATCAGGTGAGCATTCCACCTGCAGTCAGGAGCATTACAGCATGTAGATAACAGGCGTGACGTCATGTCGTCGCGCTGGCTCTCTACCGCATCAGGAACGCCGACTCCGTGCGGCTGCGGGTGCCTATATCAGGTGAGCATTCCACCTGCAGTCAGGAGCATTACAGCATGTAGATAACAGGCGTGACGTCAGCTGCGAGGCCAGAGACATCTTCTGGTGCCAGCATGTCGTCGCGCTGGCTCTCTACCGCATCAGGAACGCCGACTCCGTGCGGCTGCGGGTGCCTATATCAGGTGAGCATTCCACCTGCAGTCAGGAGCATTACAGCATGTAGATAACAGGCGTGACGTCATGTCGTCGCGCTGGCTCTCTACCGCATCAGGAGTGCCGACTCCGTATGGCTGCGGGTGCCTATATCATGAGCTCATGAGCATGAGCATTCCACCTGCAGTTAGGAGCATGATAGCATGTGGATTGAAGAATATAACAACAAGTTTGGCTATTCGAGACTAGGAAAAGCAGTCTTGACTCTTGAGTGGTCTGGCCGTCAACAATTAAGTTAAAGGAGGTCAATAACTTTTTAATTCAGCTCTTGAACTTTCTTAAATGAGTACGTACTTGACATTTTGATAATGTAGAGATCATGTATACAGCACTTTGCAGCAAGACTCGATGCGACTCGATTCATGACTGTATTTAGATAAATAGATCATGTTATCTTAAAATCACGAATGACCACTACTTTCAAAGAGCTTAAAGCTTCAAACTGGTGAAAAGTGCTGAGGTAATCCTCAGGCATGCAATGCAATCATTAAAGGGCCTCGAAATGGTAACTCTAGTTCTGGAAATGACTACGCTTACTCTCAGAAATATAATATCCAATCTGGTATTTCCAGAAACCCTGCTCCAAATGGACAGGCAGCAGCTGCAGAAGTTCGTGCAATACCTGATAGCGGAGCACCATACGGAGGTGCTGCCAACCGCCCAGAGGCTGGCCGACGAGGTCCTGCAGGCCAGGTCGGCTATCAACAGGATATGCGGCGCGCCCGACCCCACGGCTGGGCCGCCGCCCGACGCGCACCATGCTTGGCACTTGGATGAACAGCAGGTAAAACTTCTTTGCTTTGCTTTCAGCTTACATTAGAACAAACAATACTGGATATAAGGCTTGGCTTCTCTACTCAATCATGATTAGGAACTGAAGTGAAAACCGAATCTGAAAAACGGCACGAATATTTTTTCTGCCAACGACCCTGAACAACAGCAGAAATATAAAACTACACATAAAGTTCATAAAATAATGCTGGCCATTAAAAATATTTTGTTTAAAAAAATCTAAAAAGTTCACAAAAAATTGCAAAAAATATAAATAAAAACTACTCGAGTAAAAACTTTTTTTAAAACTTTGATTCTGGCCTTAAATGCGTTATTTTTCTTTTATGAATGACATCTTGGTACCTATTTTGTTTTTATGTATTTCTGTAGATTGTTTTAATCAATGTCATCATTTCTCTATGAGATTGTTTTAATCAATTTCATTATTTTTTCAGGTCTGTGAACAAGTGCGGGCGTACTTATTACAGGGGACTTATTACAATGCAAATAAGCAGCTTAATTCGTTATTTTCTAAGGTGAGCTCTATTTTTTTATACATTTTTTACCATACAAAGTATCCCATTAACTCTAAACCTAAGAAAATTGTCAACATTTATTATCAAGAAGATTTTTAAAAGTCGTTCTTATTACCAGGTACGAGAAATGCTTCGCGCGCAAGACTCAAATGGCCCTCGGATGCTCATGCTTATGACCGAGCAATTCCTCTCAGACCCTCGGCTCCTTCTTTGGAGGAACCAGAACACCCCCATGACGGAGAAATGCAGGCAACTGTGGGAACAGCTAGGAGCTTTATGGGTCAGCATAGTGCTGGACCCTGGGAGTAATAAGCACCACAGGATACAGTGGCGACATCTGCTGGAAAAGTGGTCGGCGGTGGAAGTTTGTCCGACTGAGGATCCGGACTACAGATCTTTTCCATTGGTGAGTGAGTGAATGAAGTGCCTATAAGAGATGGGTGTTAAATGGTCTCTATCAAAGTATGATCTTATCAGGACGTCTTTGATTAGTCTTAATTACTTTGAAACTAGTCAAAATACATTAAACTTTACATTAGAGAAATTGTATTATAAGGACCAGGCAAAGCAATTACAAATAGCACTACATATATTGCCACACTAGATGCGACCTGCGATCATCAGATCAAAGTAATCATACATTATGTGGTCCGCATTCACTTTGACCTGACCGCAAACCCCTTTATTTAGGCTCCTTTTTTGGCACTTACTGATTCTCCTGATTTTATGTACCTAATTATTTTCTCTCTTTATAGTATGCAAGAGAAAGGGAGAGGAACGAGAGAGATCGCGACAGAGACCACAGAGACAGGGACAGAGAACGCCACAGGGACCGCGAGGAGAGAGACAGAGAGAGACTGCGCGAAAGAGAGGAGAGAGACAGGTACGAACAAACACCACAGAAATATAAAGCACTAGCTTTCCGCCCTCAGCTTCGCGCGCGTGGACTACATTATCTACATATTTTAAGGCTAGGATTTACCGCCTCGATGCCGTGCATTCGTTTACCTCAGCCCCCGCACACCTCGCACTGACACTCGCGCTGACACTCGCGCGACGCGATGACGCCATAGTGTAAAAACAAGCCGTAAGTTGGATTAAACCGTAACCTTCAAACAGTGAATAAATAAATAATAAAATTAAATATCCTTCGACATAATATTTTAACACTGCGCCTCTAGTCTCAAACTAAGCAAAGCTTGTACTATGGGATATGAACATACTTAAATAACATAACATAAATAAATACATTCATATTATGGTTAGAAAACACCCAGCCCGAAACAAACATTATTATAATGTTCATGCACACAAATGTTTGTCAATCAATAATGTCAAATAAAGATGATAATATTAAGTCAAACAAATACTTTTTATCGACAAAAATAGTAAGTAAATGATCACAAAAATGTAAACTCCATTTTAATATGAAATACTAATGTTTTTTTACATTTTGCTATTCTATTTAAGCAAATGACTCTAAATTAATCATTGTAAACCCAGAAATAGTAAACAATCCTCAAAACAACTTGCCTAGAGGTCCTCTTCTGCCCTTTTATAATTTGTAACTCAGATTCAAGCAGTAAACTTCTAAAATAATTATTTATGGTATCAATTAAATAACTGTATCGCCATTTAGTTTTATAATTCAGCATCTTTAAAAATTTGTGAAACATCAGAATTGATGACTCGCCTTATATTCTTTCATCATCAAAAAGTACCTAATATTATCATCTAATTGTAAATTATGGCAACTATTTCCTCATAATTATTGAAAAATATAAGGCAAAAATGTTTAAGTTTTACAAAACTATGAAGAGCAGATATCTCGAAAACAATACAAGATATTATCGAAAAACTTGACTGAAAAAAGTACTTGACTGAGAAGTAAATTAAATGAGATTTCATTTTGTTGCAATAGTAATGTAATATCGCTAGGACGCATAGTTATTTATTTAGACAGTTTCTGAGATATAAGCGAAAAACCCAAAAATGGGACCTTCTAAGGCTGCGATCGAGAACTTTTGTCATTCACTTAAGTTACAAGTGTTAGGAAAAATTGATCAAAAAATCAAAATCAAAAATATTTATTCAGTAAAATGTACTATGTATCATGCATGATTGAAAATTCTTAGCTTTCTCCAGTAATACTGATATTATTATACTGTGACTCGCCACCCGCCAGACAGAGGCGATTTTGTCAAAAATATTGACAAATCGCGAACTGTCACAGGAATAAAACTGACACGCGTCCGTCCTCCGCAAGCGCCACCGCGCGACTGATTGAGATTGTCCAAGCCGTCATGGCCGATTTTTTCACATTTTTTCACCATAGTAACTAAATAAGACGCAATAACAAAATTTTGAAAAGTTGTCGACCTAGAAAATACAAAGTCCTATCTATTAGTATATATTTTAAGTGTAAAATGTTAAAAATGAATATATGAGAGTAAAACAAAAAAGCCGTCGAAGTACTTCTTTGGGATTTTTTTTTATCGGACAAACTATGCAATATCGTGTTTTGGAAAAGTTGTCGCCCTAGTTAAAGACATTAACTTACTCCTACAATTTTTTGTTTGCTAAAATATCTTTTCATTTAGAAACTATCTGCAAACAAAATCGGTCAAATATCGACAATTTGGGAAATCATGGCCTTAAGGAACCCTATTTTTTTCTAAAAAAAAATTTAGCCTATGTTACTCGTGGATAATGTAACTTTCGAATGGTGAAAGAATTTTTAAAAAACGGTCCAGTAGTTTCATTTCATTACAACCAAACAAACAAACAAAGTTTTCCTCTTTATAATATTAGTGTAGACAATGAAAGAAAGCTACGATATTAACACCCCTATTCACAAACATTACTACGAGTTCTCACAGTGCGCGTTGACGCACAGGGTCACACACCAATCACAGAGCTCTATTCAACGCTGTGCGTTCAATTTGCTGCTTCACTTAAGCAAGCATCGTTTGTGAATACGGGTGTTAGATTTCCTTGATAGTGCTATTTTTTGCTCCAATAATCTCTAGGTAAGTTTTTTCCGTGTTAAATATTGTCTAAATAATATTTTTGTTCACAGAGAAAGACATAGAGAAAGACAAAGAAGAGATTTGCATTCCCATTCGGAGAGTTCCGATGAAGAATCTAGGCCTAATAAGTTAGTATTTTCGACTTCACTTTCAATCTTACCAGTGTTTACCTACAAACGATAGTACATCAAACGAAATAATCCAGAGACTTATGTAGTTGTAAAATAATTACAACCTGTATGCCTAAGATGCGCGCCGTGATAATTTTTATCGACGTCAATTTGTATGGGCAAAATCGATAAAATGGCGTGATAACCGCCTATCACGGCGCGCATCTTAGGCCTACTGGTCAAGTTAACTACGCACCTTGTCGGCCGTGACGTCACATCGACGCTCTCTGGTACGAACGGGGCGAACGCGGGGATAATAATATGTGTGGGTTAGTGCGAGGGAGAGTCGCATTCCAACGAGATGCGCAGTTAACTCGTATTTGCCACGAAAATGTCTGATGAGCTGTTGAATGTATGTAGGTATATGAATACTGGGGAAATCTTGATAAATTCATAATAAAATTTGTTTTTGTTGCAGTTATGAACGTGAATACAGGAGAGCTAGCAAACGGTTAAGACTGCACAATTCGCGGCCGGCGCCTTCGTTGACCCCAAGGACTGTCTTCCACAAGTAAGATCAGTTTTGCCTATCTACCAAACTCTCGTACGAATCAAAACACAGCATAAGGTTTTCAATTTTAAAATTGTAAAACATGGTCCTTCGAGTCAGGATATTGAATTAAAGTTCCCTGAGGATCTTTCACAAAGTAAACGATACTGAACTACAAGTCTAGCGCATTCTGAATTTCTGACACAGTGTCTGAGGGCATAACTTAATCTTTCCCCAATATACTGTACCTATAGCCAAAATCTACTTACAGTTTGAAACCCAAAGATGAGTACTGAGTAGTTCCGAAAGATGGCTACTTACGTATTTATAAATTTTTCTAAGTCATTTTGATTATAGCTAAGTACGAGTACCTACATGTATTTTTTGTCCCCAGAGCGCTGGACGCGGTTGACATAAGCTGGGAGAATGAGCACCTGAAGTACATTCTCAGCAGTGACGAGTATTCTGATCCTGAAAAACCGGAGAAGGCTGGTGGCTCGGCTGCTACAGTACCACAACCCTACCCCAAGTTTAATGACTTAGGACAGCCGCTATGGCATGGTAAGTGATATTAAACTTGCTAATGGCAGGAAAATTGATCTTTTACCAAGCTTCTCTCGGAATCCTCAAAGATCATGGTTAGTTTTTGTCGGAAAATACTTTACGTGTTTTAAACTTTGTGACTAAAAAGTTTATCACTTACCTAGGTACTTCTATATATTTACCTGTGAATTAAACCCTAAACACTGTGCCATCAACTGTGCGTTTAGATACTATAGTGATTTATTAACAAAAATCATATTTGTGTGCTAGCGACTGTAACTTCAAGTTCAGAATCTCTCAAGGTTCCTGTTAATTTTGGTCTTCTAAAGTAGTTTGTAACAGGTCAAGAAAGATTCATTAAAATACTATTTCTTATTACAGAACATTTGCCAGTAGTGGGGGCTCGGATAGAGGCCCTACGAGCTCACGGACGTGCTCCCGCCGCTTTAAGACTGGCCGTCAGTGCAGCGAGGGCGATGAGGCATCGACAGGTGAAACTTATCCTTGATTAAAGATAGCAAAAGATTGACTCTAGTACCTACTATCAGACTCTTACTTCCATTTGTCTATTCATTGGAATTGATAATCTAGTAAATCTAGTTGTTTCCAATTTAATTCTAAGTTTTCCGATATTGAAGCCTCTCCACATCACCTAATTTAATTTTATTTATCATGTGTTTCTCGTATCGCAATTGGGCCTTTTCAAGGCAAGAGTGAATAAACACTTACAGGGTAGATATGTACCATCCTAGACTGCATCTCACTTAACAGCAGGTGTGCCTTTTCTTACATAAAAAAAGTTGACATTGTTTGTAATAGTTAAAATATTTGTAAGCCCCTGCCAAGTCAACTTTTGGACTATTCAACCTTCATTGGTTGGGCCTAAATAACCACGAAGTGCGTTGTAAATCAAAATCAAACGAGACACCTGTCCAGTAGTGAACAAGAGTAACTAAATTGGATATCCAGTACTGAAAATAAAATGAGAGGTGGGAGATATTTGACCACATCACAACTGACCACTGGAACCTAATTGTTCCAGGAGGTAGCCCAACACCGGTGGCACGAAGTAGGCGCCGGCGAGGCCTCCTCCAGCGGCGGCGCCCCCGCCCCGGCCTGCGCCGGCGCCGACGCCTGTTCCGGCGCCTGCGCAGACCGTGTCAAACTGTCACTGGTCTGCGCGCACATGGACTCTGGTGTTTGCCTCACTAGCGCCGCCACGTGTGCTCTGTCGCACACGCACCGGTGTATTGGCCGAGGTGAGTGAGAGAGAGAGATAGAGAGAGTCTGGTCTGCATCCTTCCCCAAGGAGCGCACTCGTGTGCACACATGGACTCCGACGTCTGCCTCACTAGCGCCGCCACGTGTGCTCTGTCTCATACCCACCGGTGCATAGGACGAGGTGAGTGAGAGAGAATGCGCATTGTAGTCAATACCATGTGTCGATCCTGCTCTGGCGCCTGCGCAGATCGTGTCAAGCTGTCACTGGTCTGCGCGCACATGGACTCTGGAGTCTGCCTCACTAGCGCTGCCACGTGTGCGCTGTCGCATACGCACCGGTGTATAGGCCGAGGTGAGTGAGAGAGACGTCGCATTGCAGTCGATACCATGCGCCGACGCTTGTTCAGGCGCTTGCGCCGACCGACTCAAGCTGTCGCTAGTGTGCGCGCACATGGACTCTGGTGTCTGCCTCACTAGCGCTGCCACGTGTGCGCTGTCGCATACGCACCGGTGTATAGGACGAGGTGAGTGAGAGAGACAACGCATCGTAGTCTATTGCAGATCACTGGACGCAAGACTCTCCTTAGGAGCGTCGAGAACGTTGACCCATCGAGGAAGGGAGATTCTTAAACTACGTTGCTATCGTCTACTAGGACTCTAGTAACCATTCTCTCTAACTACGTCGGTGCCTGCTCAGGCGCCTGCGCAGACCGCGTCAAGCTGTCACTGGTCTGCGCGCACATGGACTCTGGTGTCTGCCTCACTAGCGCGGCTACGTGTGCTCTGTCGCATACGCAATGGTGTATTGGCCGAGGTGAGTGAGAGTGACGTCGCATCACAGTCTATTGCAGCACTGGACGCAAGACTCTCCTTAGGAGCGTCGAGAACGTTGACCCATCGAGGAAGGGAGATTCTTACACTAGGTACATTGCTATCACATCCTCTACTAGGACTCTAGTAACCATTCTCTCTAGCTACGTCCATCCTGCTCCGGCGCCTGCGCAGATCGTGTCAAGCTGTCGCTAGTGTGTGCGCACATGGACTCTGGTGTCTGCCTCACTAGCGCCGCCACGTGTGCGCTGTCGCATACGCACCGGTGTATTGGCCGAGGTGAGTGAGAGAGACAGCGCATCGTAGTCTATTGCTATCATCGGCAGGAAAACTCCCCTTAAGAGTGTCAAAGGACGTCGACTTATCGAGGAAGAGAGAGTTTGCTATCTCATGGTCTAGACTCTGCCTTCGTTGGTCCTGCTCCGCTTCTTACACATGGACTCCGGCGTCCATGTCCAGAGAGAGAGTGAGAGTGATAAAGTTGCACTTGGTTAGTGAGACAGCTGGTCATCACCCAGTTGCATTTCCTTCCTGGACCAAAGCCTCTCTCCCAAGGAGCACCCAAGATCGTCTGCGCTTCAAGAAAGGGGGCGTCCGAGACCCACACGTTTGGCGTCACGTGATCTAAGACTCGAGGACATCAGGACACGTCATTCACTTTATGGCTTTCTTTACAGACAGCAGATGCTGGACGGGCTGGACGCTGGAGGCCATCTGGTGCGTGTACGAGTGCCTGGCCGACGCGTGTCTGGCGCCCGACGACCAGCGCGCTTCTCCGCGCCTACACACGGCCTATCTGGACGAGGAGCCCAACACTGGGCTTCCACCTAGGTTAGTTTGTTAGGTTGTAATTCCTTCCCATTCCCATAAAAGATAATTGCTTTTGAGGGCTAACATTATCAATGTAACTCTCCCAACTGCCTATCATAGTCAGCCTTATGTAAGACGTCATAGGCCTCCTATAGCCAGATATGCCTTTCGCAAATAGGGCTCTTTTCTTTAATTCTCGATGATTTTCGCCCTGATTCTTGTAAAAAACCTACTAAATCTGTAGTTGAATCTCATTCGATCATAAAACACGAATATACGTCGCATCTAATATTTCCTAATTCAATTCTTTTCTAGATATCAACACGTGCCAGTAGCTGGCAGTAAAAACCCTGAAGAGACATACTTAGCGCTGGCCTTAGAGGCCGCCTTACTGGGGCTGGGCATGCAGAGGATGCTGCCCAGTGGGCTATACGCACAAGAGCGGTACTGCAAGCAGGTAAGAAAAAAACTCATAGAATATGCAATCCATTTTTTCACCAGTTCCTTTATAAAGAGGTCTAGAATTACTTTATAGCTCATTTAAAATTTCTTCTTTATTTTGCCAGATATGTAATTTAATAAAGCATTTATTTCTTTCTTTCCCAATCCAATATTACAACAAAACACAAATTGCTATGCACTATTTATAAGTTTGTGAGAGAACTGGTGTCTGAACTAGGCGAGAAGCTCTGGCCGAAGCACATAATCTAGGACTAGGCTAAAAAGCCGCTATTTTTGGATGTAATTTCGAAAGCTTCATCCTAAACAAGCATCACATTACAGGAAGAGCGCCTAATAGGCCAGCTCCAGCGGGTAGAAGGCGAAGCAGCCGCGGGAGTTTGCGCACGTGTCGCGAAGGCATTGCTAGAGGGCGGGCCCTCTTCGTGTCTCGGGACCAGAGTTCACCCACGGTCGGCGCCTGCTCATACATTCGCGAGATTCCTGTTCCTCACATTGCTGCCGAGTGACCCTGAGCTGGCATACAGAGTCGGCTTGAGGGCTATGAGGTACGTCACTTCTCTATCTATTGAAGTTGCAAAGGGATTAGAGGGCGGGCCCTCTTCGTGTCCGGGACGAGAGTACATCCGCGGTTTGCGCCCGCGCATACGTTCGCACGGTTCCTCTTCCTCACGCTGCTGCCGAGTGACCCTGAGCTGGCTTACAGAGTCGGCTTGAGGGCTATGAGGTACGTCACTTCTCTATCTATTGAAGTTGCAAAGGGATTAGAGGGCGGGCCCTCTTCGTGTCCGGGACGAGAGTACATCCGCGGTTGGCGCCCGCGCATACATTCGCACTGTTCCTCTTCCTCACGCTGCTGCCGAGTGACCCTGAACTGGCTTACAGAGTCGGCTTGAGGGCTATGAGGTACGATATTTCCCCTATCTATCGGAGTTATGTTAGAGGGTGGATTGTCCTCGTGCCTCTGAACCAGGGTGCACCCACGCTCGGCGCCCGCGTACACTTTCCCGAGGTTCCTCTTCCTCACGCTGCTGCCGAGTGACCCTGAGCTGGCGTACCGAGTCGGCTTGAGGGCTATGAGGTACGTCACTTCTCTGTCTATTGAAGTAGTTAAGGCACTACTAGAGGGCGGGCCCTCTTCGTGTCTCGGGACCAGAGCACACCCACGCTCGGCTCCTGCTCATACATTCGCGAGGTTCCTCTTCCACACCCTGCTACCTAGTGACCCTGAACTGGCTTACAAAGCCGGCTTAAGGGCTATGAGGTACGTTACTTCTCTGTCTATAAATTGAAGTAGTTAAGGCACTACTAGAGAGCGGGCCCTCTTCGTGTCTCGGGACCAGAGTACACCCACGCTCGACACCCGCGCACACTTTCGTCGGGTTCCTACGTACCTCATAGCGCTCACAAGGCTATGAGGTGCGTTATTTTCACTCTTTATTGCGCGCAGTACGAAGGTGCTGTTGAAGGGTATCAAAGTAGTGTAGGTATATCAATCGACAACAAACTAAAATTCAGATGCAAATAGAAGTACTCGAGTAATTCAAAACCGAAAAATATGGTAGTTTGGCAGCTATAGGCTATAGCTATAGGCTGTCAAAAGTGGGCCACGCCACATTCCAATTTAGGCGCCTCTATTCTAAACTTTCACCCCATTTCTTCCAGGTTGCCGATGGTGGAAGAGGCGTACGCGTTAGACGGCGCCGGCAGCGCGGCCGGCAGCATGGCGGGCGCCGGCGCCTGGCACACGCTGCAGCACGCCGAGCAACAACAAGCGGCGCTCGCCAGCGCTCTACTAGGTATACCTTTAGGGAGTCTATCTAATCTATTTGCACAGTGGCTACCCGTAAAACTTTTAGTGCAACCATTCGCAAGCGGTCTGCATCCAACAATGCTATGTATGTATTTTAGATGAGTGCAACATGCGTTCAGTGCTGCTGCAACAGTTATGGATGAAGCATGAAATGAAACTTTGTACTGCAACGCCACTTATCCACACCTTAGCGTAAACGCCTCGCCTCGCGGTTGACAGTGCAACGAGGGGCTATACGGTGTTAAAAATCCTTTCTAGGTTGATAACTTCATAGCACGACCTTTAAGCGTTCAATGCTGCGATTTTGTCCTTTTCCATTCACGGTGTCCATTTCTTCTATGTAAGCTCAACTAATGATTTCGAAAATGGTTCATAAAAACCAGCATCTTTATTAGATCGCACCTCCTTACGATTTCTACTCCAAAAATATTTTTTTTTATGTTACTCTTCTCCGAGTTTTTTAGAAATCCCTGATCAAATCTCTCATTATCACAGGAGCGGCGCGAGGAACGCCAGCGCGACTCAGAGCGGCTCTAGGAGCGGCTCAGAGGCACGTGCGATCCGCGGCTCAACTGTTCCGACTGGCACAAGACGCGCTCCGCCACGCGGCGCCGCCTGACGCGCCGCATCACCACCGAGACTTGCTGGCGGCCGCCTTCGAGCTGGGCTTACAGGTACAGTGCTTATTATAACAGAAAGATTTAACGAATATCTCCAGTAACCTACACATCACGATAACCCGAAGATCGATCCATGTGTGTAGCCAAGTATTCACGTATTTATTCTTCAGTGCTTTTTTGCATAGTCAGAAGAACTGTCAGAAAGACTTCGCTCCGCTGTTCCCCGAATGTTATCGGTTGAGGTTAAATTATTTATACTCATTATATTAATTTGTTGCAGGTGTTACGAATGACTCTCTCGTCAGTAAACTGGAGGCGAAGAGAAATGGTCCGGTGGCTCGTCACCTGTGCGACGGAGTTAGGATTGGATGCGCTACTTTCTATCATGCAAAATTGGTAAGTGAATTTCAGGACTTCATCATCATCATTTCAGCCATAGCACGTCCACTGCTGAACATAGGCCACTCTCAATGATTTCCATGTTGACTGGTTGGTGTGGGTGGATTTCAGGACTTAAGAGGTTTTGAATCTTGAAATTAAACCTATTAGGTCATTTCAAATGTAAGACTGTGATACCGTTTAATTATAATAACTTATTATTATGTTCGTTCTAGGTACGAGCTGTTCACGCCTACAGAAGCGACAGGCCCAGTGGCGGCAGCCGCGATGTCACATGCGACGGCTCTAAGACTGGGGCTCACCTTCGAGCAGCAGGAGAAACTCAGTGCCTGTGCAAGGACACTAGCGCTACAGTGTGCGGCCAAGGTATGACATGATGATAACATAAAATTACATATACTCTCTATCACTCAGAATAGGACTCTAATGTCCGTTTTCACCATCCATCCCTAATTTTTAAGTGACCCATATGAAAACAAAATTCCTGTTATGTGTTACCATAGGAGTCACTTAAAAATTGATTATGAATTGATTATGGGTGACATAAGGAGCCTCCATTCAATTTCAATAATAAAATGAGGCTCTGAACTTCAATATTAAGGTTAATCCCAGAACAGAAACTTGGACTGTTGAATCAGTTTTTAAGCGTTTGGTAATAATGGACCTGTGACAGCCTTTAGTTGTCCCCCATAACACCCTCACAGAAACATTTAATTGAAATGCGATTGAGTATGTTTATATCCGTTGTCTAGTGCCCATAGTACAAGCTTTGCTTAGTTTGGGGCTAGCTAGCGGCACAGTGTGAAATGTCCAAGGATATTTATTAATATTATTATTATTAATAAAAACTATGTTATTGTATAAACTTTCAGGATCCCCCTGGTTGTGCTCTCAGCGCTCTATCAGTATGCGAAGGTTCTGCCGGCGCCTTTGAAGCCGCTTGCGCCGCCGTCGGAGGCGCGGCCGCCAGAGGAGCCCTGGCGTCTTCGCAGCTCTTCGCGGTGGCCAGATACATGGAGCAGAGGGGACAGCCCGCGAGAGCGATGAGGCTGGCCACTTTGGCCATGAGGAATCTGCACCTTCATTACAATCAAGTAAGTGTACCGAGAGACTGAATCTACCTTGTATACTGCCTTTGGCTCATGTAAGAGAGCTTTGCTAGCTTTACAACTTATACATGGATTAGGTACAGAACTAGCCCAAGTTAACGATAAGGCTAGGGTTTATAATGAAGAATCTTAATGCATGTCTTCAACATCTACAACTAAATAAGTTTTCATAGATTTCAGCTATGCTTATAGGCAAGTTCCTGTCGACATACTCAGGAGATTTAGTTATCAAAAACAAGGCCGACTGAAAATCTAAAACCTGCTTTTCAAGCCCTACGGCTTGTGAAATTCGCCAAGCTCTTCACTGACACGTTTTACCCCAATAAATGGTACAATCCAAGCATATTGACATCGCGGTATATTTAGATGATATAATAATTATGACTATGAAATACGAGTCTCATCATGTGTTATCATTACAGGACAGCCACCCAGCGATAGCAGACATCCACTGGGCGGTCGCGCTAGCACATTCGCTAGGCCGAGCGGAGCTACAGGCGATGCTGCCTCTGCTTGTCAAGAACGTGCAGTGCGCGCCAGTTCTGGTGAGTGGACAATATGTTCAAATGTATACAGGTTTATTTTTGTTTAACATCTTTTCATACTTTTTTACTTCAAACTTATTCTGTCATATTATTCAGTTTGATTGGTTACCAAATACAAGACAAGGATAAAAAAGGCGACAATAGCCCAGTGATTTCGGCATCAAACTACCGGTCCGTGAGTCGCTACTACGCTGGTCTATTATGGTGAACCCACTCCATAAGGCTGATTTACACGTATTAAGGTGATAAGTAGATAATTTTAACTAAATTTTAAGTTTATGTCCAGACGTCAAGCTCTTGTTTACTATGAAACTGCTTGTCAAAACGTGTCAAGTGACGAGCAGCTAGCCCCGCCCACCAACTTGACAGAAAAATCAAGTTAAAATTTCGTTACCTACTTATCTACTTAATACGTGTAAATCAGCCTTTATACACAATCATAATATTATTTTGTATTTAGGATACTTAGTGGGATAATTTGCTTGCATAAGGTTTAACGAATTATTATGTCTCTCTTCAGTCGGATGTGCTCCGTCGCTGCTGCGTGGCCGCCGCTGGTTGCTCGCGCTCCCGCCCGCCCCCGCCGCGCCCGCCCACGCCGCTGCGGCCGCTGCTCGAAGCGGCGCTGAGGGCCTACGCCTCCACCACGCACGCACGCCTGGCCCATATCAGCCCGAGGCATTACGCGGACTTCGTCGACTTCCTAGGTTAGTAACCTTCAAGCATATTGTGATGGTTCCTCCCAGCATTTTCCATGACAGCCTAGAACCGCTGGCAGGGCTCAAAACAGGTATTATTTGACATTTGAGGCGACGCTGGGGATCTCTACCACCCATGCGCGTCTGGCCCATATCAGCCCGAGGCATTATGCGGACTTCGTGGACTTCCTAGGTTAGTGACGTCATAGCAGCGGGTCCAATGACAGTTGGCAGAGACGACGTCATCGCGCCTCGCCCGCCCGCGCCACGTTCAAGCGTGGTGGCGTCAGATTCAAGCGTGGCTATTCAGCACTTGACACTTGGATAGAGTTTCAAAGATTAGCGATCAAGCTGTAGATTCTGGCTACACATGATTTGCTCTATGAATGAGACGTGGGAATAGTCCCGTAGTCACGTTCATGTTTGTCCCGGCGTTTCTTCTCAGCACATCCATTTGGTCTTAAAGTCCTGAAAGGGTTTAAAAGATTGGTAGCTATAAGGCGCCCCACTGTAAGTGACGTCATCTTAGCGAATCCAATCACAGTTGGTAGTCAGTTGACGTCATCACGCGCCCCGCCCGCCCACGCCGCTGCGGCCGCTTCTAGAAGCGGCGCTGCGGGCCTACGCCTCCACCACCCATGCGCGGCTGGCCTATATCAGCCCGAGGCATTATGCGGACTTCGTGGACTTCCTAGGTTAGTGACCTTCGAGCATATTGTGATGGTTCCTCCCAGCATTTTCCATGACAGCCTAGAACCGCTGGCAGGGCTCAAAACAGGTATTATTTGACATTTGAGGCGACGCTGGGGATCTCTACCACCCATGCGCGTCTGGCCCATATCAGCCCGAGTCATTATGCTGACTTCGTGGACTTCCTAGGTTAGTAGACTTGCTATAATGTTTGTCTCGAAGGGCTATAAGATAGGGAAACATGCACAGTGACCCTTGAAGAGCTACTGTTTATGATTTGAGTTTGAGGAGACGCTGGGGCTCTTCACCATATGTGCGTGATTCACGCACATCAGCTCAGTGGACTTCCTAGGTCAGTGACGTCATAGCAGCGGGTCCAATGTCAGCTGGTAGTCAGTCGGTGCCATAAGGCGCCCCGCTCGCCCCCGCCATGCCTAGAGGCGGCGCCACGGGTCTACGCCTCCAACACGCACGCACGGCTGGCCCATATCAGCCCGAGGCATTACGCGGACTTCGTCGACTTCCTAGGTTAGTGACGTCATAGTAGCGGGTCCAATGACAGTTAGTAGTCAGTTGACGTCATCACGCACGCACGCGCGGCTGGTGCACATCAGTATGCGGATACCCTCGGCACAATGCGGACTTCGTCGACTTCCTAGGTTAGTGGCGTCATTGTACCGACAGATTAGCGAGCTGAAGTAGCAATGGCAGGGCACATAGTACGCTACTGACAGCCGATGAGACAGCAAGGTTCTATAGTGAAGGCCGCGTACTGGAAAGCGCAGGGTGGGACGTCCCACAAAGTGGACCAACGATCTCATAAAGGTAGCAGGAAAGCGCTGAATGTGGAATTCAACCAGTCAATATGGAAATCATTTTGAGTACGAAAAAAAACTTGAAGGCTCTTAAGGGTCTGAGAATAAGGTGTAGTATCTAATTGCAATCGTTTGTTCACAGGCAAAGCGCGCGACACGTTTGCGCTCGCGCACGACGGGCCACACCAGTTCGCAGCCCTACTCCAAGAGATCAAGCTCAAGTACAAAGGCAAGAAGAAGCTCATGTTCCTCGTCAAAGAGCGCTTCGGTTGATACACGCTGCATTCCAGAGCCAGGACTTGACGAAACGCACTCGTGTGACCATGACTTGTGAGTGTACGCGGGAATTCGCGGGATTTTTAGTGATGTGTGACAATTACTTGAGTGTACGCTTGGGATTTGTGTGATAATGTCCCGATAGTGAATATTTGATGACGTTTTCAAGTCATCTTTTAGTAGAATGAGTGGCGCAATAAAAAATATTGTCTATTCTCTGTAACGTGAATCAATATGATAATAAACAATCATTTTCCTATTGCTTTACCTATGGACCAGGAAAAGGTTACGTGGGGTATCATTCAACCCAAAAAAGTTAAAAAGAACTAAGTACGCCATCTACAATTGAAAAATGATACCTCATTTATGTCATGACAGACAATAGCCGGGGACTTTGGGTGACAACAATAGAATTGCTTGATGACGTCATTACTTGACAGTTGCGTACACTAGAATTGGCAGATGTCAGTGAAGTGTGTCATGTCGAAAATAGGTCGTGAAATTGCCTTGCAACTTTTGGCAATATTTTTTTTGTTGGCTTTTTGTGCAATAGTTCAAAGTTTAGGCGATATTGATAAAAAAAGTGAATTTATTGGAAATATCATTCCTTGCAAATGTAAAGGACCGTTGATCTAGAAACATAAGCTTGCCGTGGGTAGTGCTAAGTCTGAAGTATGTTAGACATGGAGAAAAAGTTGGAGTGCCTACATTTTTCTCAAACAAGAGTCATCTATGAGTTGAATGTGTAAACTCGCTGAAAATTGTATATGATAAATTAAAATAGAAAAATCTGTCTCCAGTAATCAGAAAACGTGGGCACCCTACTTAACCCTGCGAATTTAGCGGCGAAAATAAAATACCTCATGTATGGTACAACCGCGTACCGTAGCGTACCAAACCAGTCTCTCCTAAAGTATTATTTTACTTAACGATTACTGTAGCCGACCTCGTTAACGTCATTTATATTGTAAGTTATTGTAATGATCTCAATGATTCCATTTGTGTAAATAGACTAGGGCTTGTAAATATAGTTATTGTATAAGTTTAGCATAGATACGTGTAATTAGTGACTTTGTGCTTTGTGCTGGGCAATACTCGATAAATTATCAATATTTTGGACTGCCCAGCACAGAACATAGGGCGACGTAGGCCTAGTACGCCATTCTTATAGCGTCCAATAGAAATGGAATATTCATTATGAAATGACACAACACCAAAGAAATATATTGTAAGTCCAAGTGTGAGATAAGCAAAGCCATCATTATTTCAGTATTCTTGAGTATTCGATATACATACATAGTTATTTGTTGCTAACTTTTAAGATGGTAGACAATGACTGTGAAGTAATATTTTTCTATAGTTCTCATTTATTTTTTGTTTGTTATCAGTGCTTTTATTACAATATTTATCACACTAATATTAATATCAATGATCATCAATAGACACCTACATTCCGGATGATATACGTCTCTATAATTTAATTTTAAATGTTTACAATAATATACCAACATCTTGACTCCGTTAAAACAACGATAGCCATTTTCTATTAACGAAATCGCTTTGTGTACCTTATGGCATACGCCACTAGTGACACCATTCGTTTCGTAAAAAAATTGAGACACAATTTTTACACCAAAAAAAATTCGGATTAAAAAGTGTGATGGGGTTTCATTTTCTCGTTACATCTGGCTGTTTATTTCACGTTAAATTAATAAAACAAACTAACAATGCAACATAATACATTTAAGATAAGTTCACATAACTGCCTTTGAATTATCGTGTCTGGTACCGCATGCCGAGAGGAGTGTTTGAAATATTATTTCTCATACAACTTTAATTTCTATGTTAGATGTAAAGTTTTAAAAAAGTGCATTTATAAAGATAGAAGATGTTTAATATTTGATATAGAAGGAGCGTCGGGTAGTGTTCAAGTGTTAGTAACGGATGGTAAACTGATAGTATATTAGGTTAATGAAGGACTTTTGTACTTTTTGTGGTGTGAACGAGGGCTCGGCAAAAGCTACACAAAATATATTTTTTGGCATACCCATGTTCAATAATCTTACCTCATAAAATTGACTTTGATTATTATGTTTTCTTACAAATTAATGTTCCAGTGTCAGATTTCCAACGCAATATAGTTTAAATTTCAGTTAAAATACAAAAAAGCTTTGCCGACCCTATGTCTAATGTGTCAAATCTGAGTTAATAGTGAAAAAATATTCAATTCAATCGACGGCAGTTCTATTTACTTTCAGCCAAATAAACATAAAGGCGGCGAATATTTAGTACATGAATCTTTTAATTACATAATTTATAACACTCATGATACAACCGCATAGTGTCTAGTTTTTGAACTCGAATATTTTTTTGCTGAAGTTCTTACGATGCCCATGATCATACGCACAAGGACTCTTGCAAACAATTACTTTATTTTGTATATTTATTTGGTCTGAATGAGCCTGGATGTGCGGTACAGTTATTTTTGAGAGAAAGGTCTAGAAAACAGATTAATATCTTAAATTAAAGCAATAATTTGCCTTCGGCCGGTCTGCGTCACTGCGTTACTATTTTTGTGTAAATGTAAGTAGTTGTGAATTGTATAGCCTGACCAGGAACATAAAAACCCTGGCACAGAGGCGCTTCAATTGCATTTGATAGTGCAACACTGAGTACAGTCGTACATGACGTGTTAAATTAAAAGGCTAAATTTATGTATCAGGATTCAGGATTACGGGCTAATTTGATATTTTCATAAATTAACGAAAAATATTATTAAAGATAACCTGGTTTAAATAAATTAAATGAAACCATCAATCGAGCTAGTAGGATTTATTTTATTATTCATCAATAATCAAATTCAGAACATGAATATTCAACTGCAATGTCTGCTCATGAACGCTTCAAACTCGGTACTTCTTTCCCAATTCCATAAAATTCAAAACTTAGAAAGTGACAAAAAACTTTAAAATAGGTAGTTGAAACAGACTACAGCTAATTTTCATAGTGGACTGTACCATACGATAAACATGTCAGTCAATTTGACAACCTTTGTCGGAAACATTATTCAATGAAAATATTGTCCGAACCCTTAGTATTTCTCTTCGACAAATACATTAACACTTCGTGAACCACTTTTCTTTCAGGACTATAAAAATATTTTAGCAATTTAATTCACAAAATCAATTGCACACATTTAAAATAAAGTTTGTTTACACTTTGACAACAATAGACTGACATGCATGGTGACATGTGAATGAAGTTTTCAGTTACTGTTGCCATTAAAAGAAATTAGTACCATTAGTTTTCCGCAACATGGCGAGGGTTTTTATGTTCCTGGTCAGGCTATAAAAGACATTATACTTAATACTTTTAAAACTTGTACTTTTAAACTATGTTGTAAAGTCGAGATAATTAGACAATAACTGACCTGTAAAGTGTAAAATCCCCAAAAACTACCTATATAAATACCACCAATGTATAGTGTAATATTTTTAAGAAGAATAATTACGTTTATCAAGACTTTACAGCAGGTTATTGTTTACCTACTTAGGACTTGCCAAAATTATCACAAAGCAAATAATATAGACCCTAAGTGCCTTCAGGCGAGTCTACTTTGCCAGACCGGCCCTATTTATGTCATTACCACATTTTTCTTTCTTCTGTGTCGATTGTCTTGATTTGTACTTGTGTTGTACGTAAAACGTGGACACCCTTCAGTGCTGGTATTAAGATGGTGATAATTTCAATATAAACGATTGAAAAATATTTTTTTGGTTTCCTTTCACGTATCTCCTGTAACCTAAATCTAAATTGGCGATCACATTTATTGAAACATACTAGTACTGCTAGTACTTACACCTTTAATCACAAAATACTTAATGCGTCAGTCTCGTATCAAGCGCATCAATATCGCAAAGACTAAAAATAGTATCGACTCTCCTCCATTTGTATTAAAATATCTTTGCTCTGTGCTATCTAATCTGTCTGAATGTCAAACTTGTTTTGCCTGAAAACATCGAGTGAACAAAACATTTGTTTAAAAGTGTTTATTTTCAGCAATTAAACAGACAGTTCACTATGTTGCGACAGGTGTGAGTCTTTATTTTCTAGATATTGTTTTGAGGCAAAGTGCGTAGTTAATAATGTGATTAGTAGACCTGTGTTTATAATGGTAGGTACTTTGTAAAGTTTGCTAAAGTAACTTTAATTTTGTACGTTGTAAAAGTTCGATGAGGATTTGCAATATCCTGGCTCGAAGGACCATTTTTAGAATTCCGTTTACAACAATTTATGTCTCCTTGAAATTGAAATCAAATCAAAATGCTGTGTTTTGATTAAAGTCGAATGGTGACAGACGTGCAGCTGGGTTACTTCGCCGCTGGCAGTCGGACTTCTGCTGAGGGCGTGTGGGAATACTGAGCCAGCTTACGATAAGTTTATCCAGGTTAATTTTTATTTTCAACCTTATTTAGCATAATTCATCACTTACGTAAAGTACCTATCGAATCTTATGCCTGCAGCTAAGTAAACGACTTACCAAGAAAGATGGAAACACAATCAACAGTAAAATATTCGTATCTTCATCATCAGAAGAAACCACCAAACATGGCGGATTTGACAGTCAAGGAGTCGATTTTCGGGACAGTGCAGAAAGGAATGCTATCAGCGACTGGGTAAGAATACCATCTAGATTTGTAATAACTTTATAATATTGTGAAAAAGACATTAAATACAAAACCTTTAACAGGTAAATGAACATGCTGAAGAAATAATGGATTCCATAAATACTATATTTCCTAAGGACACGTCAATGGTTCTCATGAATATTCATAGATTTAAGGTAAGGTAAGGCAAGTTTGCAAGCGGCGCAGGACCTGTCTTTGTGGAAATCCTTGGGGGAGGCCTTTGTCCAGCAGTGGACGTCTTTCGGCTGAAACGAACGAAGGCAAGTTTCTGTCAGTACCTAATAAGTAAGTGCTTCATAATTTTTTTAATCTTTTTTTTACTTTCTGAATTCAGGATACATGGGCAGGTCACGTCAATGGATCACCATCTATGAAAGTGTACAACTCATTCAGTTACACTCAGGACGTCAAATATGAAACGAGGGTATTTATCTTTGTGTATCTCTCATCTGCTTGAGGTTTTAACTTTTGAATTTAATTGCGATTACAAGACGGCGCTTTCCTAGACTATTATTTAGCCTTTACTGTTTAGGTTTACTTAGTTGATTACGCTGAAGATCTTGGCTATTAGAAGTTTGCTAAAGAGAATGAGTAGAGCTTGAAGTCTTTGACTAGTATCGTGAACAAATCATATTGCATTACAGATAGCACATCAAACTAAACACTAATTTTGTAGCTATAATTAAGTATGTGTTATTTTTCAAAAGAAATGTAGCAACTCTAATGTAATGTTAGAAATTATTTGCTTGCAGCTGCTACAACTCCCAACGTCAGGGAACTTCAAACTAGTTCTGCTTGTTCCAAAAGAGGTGGATGTATTACACGAACTGTTCTCAACGCTATGCAATGAAGGTCTCGAGGCCGCTACCAACTGCCTCCAACCTATGTTCACCACGACAACGAAGTTAGAAGCACCCAGCATTCATATCAGCTCGAAGATCACAAGAGAACAGGTAGTTATTGTAGGATTTGTTTAGACTTTCTAAAATCAAGCTACAACAGGCTATAGGTTTGAGCTAACTGCATACCTTCCCGCGTTCATCCCTTTCGTAGAGCGTCGATGTGACGTCACGGACGCAAGGTGTGCAGTTAACTCCACCCGGTTGTAAAGTAACTACTGTTATATTCACACTACGGTCATCCTACACCCAGTGTGTAGATCACCCACAAAAGCATAGCTTTTTTAAGTAAACGCGTTGTAGTAAAGTTGTTGTTATGTAAACGCGTTATCAAATTCAGCAGTTTTATGTGGCGACTGGCGGGCCGATAACGGTTACTGTTTTGGAAAGTTAAATATTGTAGTGTAATAATAGTTATGGATCATAAATTCTTTAGACCTTTGATTCATAGATTGCAATTCCTCGATATTACCTATTTATAGAGCTGAGGGTGGACTTTTACCAAGTGGTTTGCGAAAATTTTTAATTGCTTTTTCTTCCTTGTTTCAGGAATTTGTTATCAACGGCGTTACTGCTACTGGCCAATACTTCGGCAATGTAAAAATCAATGAAAATGAAGTTAACATCAATGTTTTAACATGTAAGTTAAAAAAAGGTAGTGTACCTAGCTAATTTTAATCGAGTTTTCGACACCAATTTACGAATTTAACTTGAAATGAGTAGGTAATGATGTTACCTTTAAAAGTTACATCATGCTTATGTTTATTATTTAACGTTATTTTTACAGGTTTATATTCGACAACGGAACCTTCAACGTCGATTGAAACTGGTGGGAAAGTTTTAATATCACAAGAACAACCAAGCTTTTATTTCGCCTTGTGTTTTAAAGATACACCGATATTCATTGGACAATATTACCCATCATAAGCTAGTAAAACTTAAAGGTTTCGGTTAAGTTAAAAAAAATAAAGCCATTTGTCATACTTTATTACATGTTTAATTTGTCTTAAGTGCACTTAAAAATAAAATTCAATTTCAACACAAATAAGTATCGTGTTTCAGAGTCCTAATGCAATCTTTTTATCTCGCCTTTGCAAGGACAAGTAGTAGTGGACTTAGCATTGCTCCTTGGAAAGTGCAAAGGCTTTCTTATTTCTAACCTACCGCGCATGTCTTCTCTTTCGTTATTAACGTTTTCTGCTTCTTCTTCATTTTGTTGATGTTCTTGATGGAATGGGTGCTTTTCTCTTGGTCTTGAATTATCTTCATCGTAAAGATCGTCATATCCCAGAACTAATGGTGGGAGTACGACAAGGCTTGCTGTTCGTTCTATCGTTTTGTTCTGAAAAGGCAAATTGATTTTAAGATTTTAGTTTTTTCGATAAATGGAGTTACGATAAGCAAATTGAAAGAGAAATTGTGAGATTGTTATGTTAAAACAGTATTTTTACTTACTACTGGCTCACATGTCACAGGCGTGATTGCCCATAGTAATAACCACATTGTTACATAAACTATTAAAGATTTTATTGCTTATTTTATAGGCACATAAAAGTCAGAATAATTAAAAACATGTGGCTAACATAACAATGTGTTCAAATATACATTTGGAGAGATTATTTTAAAGTGATTATGAAGGTCAATGAGCGATACAGCTAATCATGATCTTAATTTTATTTTCCGTTGACCCACATAACATAAATACGACACGTATAACCCTAGAAAAGTTTCTTTCTCAACCTAGGTAGCGAAATAAGAATGTTACATTCTCATTCTGTGCCTTTGTCTGTTTCCATTCCCCAAGTTCCCATCGTTCCTCAGTTATTTTATGAGTAAGAGAGGTAGATATTCTAGCTCTGTACATTTACAAAATAAATTCATACCTGATGATAACAAATGCAGTTCAAACTTCATCAGCCGTCAAATGCTCTTCTTCATCAGGAGTGACTACGTCATTTGCGTCTGGTACCGCCACATCCTCCATCGGGATGTTGGTTGGTAGCTGGGACAGCTCCACGCCTGCTTCCCTCAGCAGGGCCAGGAGGGTTGCTAGGGAGCTTGCCAGCTGAAAACAACATTTCTAAGAATTACATTATCTTAAAAATCAATATAAAATCTGCCCATTGTGTTTGGCTGTGGTAGATGCTGATTACCTATGCATGGACAAAAGTGACTGACATGACTAGGCATCCAGAGAAAGGGAAGCATGGGAGAGTACTGCTTCACCTTATGACATTAACTCTCGAACCGCGAGTGATCCTGCCTAAAAATCTGATTTAACTCTGGGTCAGTAGCTAAATCAGAAACAGCCATGGCACTTGGATTTAAACACTTTCACGCAATTAGACCATTGCATGCATTGGAATTCTAACGTACCTGAGGGTCAGGCTTCTCCATCATCTGCAGCAATTTAGCAGTAACATCAGCTTCCTCTATAGCCGGCTCCAGGCGGCCTGCTCTCGCGTGTCTCCCGGCCAAGTTGAGTCGAACTAGAGGGTCATCAGGCGCTAACGCAGCTGCCCTGGCGTACGCTGCGTCGGAGCGGCTGTCTCCTAAGCGCTCTAATGCTACGCCTATGAGCAGCACCTGTAGGAAAAGTCTTTATGACGCTATGTAAGTTATGTCCCTGCTTCTATCCAAGTAGGAATAGGTAAGCAGTGGAGAAATACATGGCAGTCCATTGCTATGAAGTCTTGAAACAAAATACGACTCTCATGGCGATAATGAGTCCTGCCAACTGAACTAAAACTACTCTATCGTTTAAAGGGAAGAAGCCACAACAAAAATGCCGCAGATCATGCTATAAATGCGAAGTCTACAGAAACTAATTAACAGTCTTACGTTATACGGCTGTGTAGGACGCATAGCAGCAGCAGCGGCGAGGCGGCAGAAGGCGGAGGCGGGCCGGCGGCACACCAGCAGCGCCAGGCCCAGGTCGTGTGCTGAGCGAGAGCTGAGAGGAGCGGCCCACGCGGCGCGCTGCAGGCATGTCAGGGCCTGGGATAGAACACATAAATAACTTTAATACCTACTCGGACCAGAGAGAGTGGAAACAAAATAAATTGGAATGGAAGAAAATGGAGAGAAGACGTGGCAGCAACTCACTCTCGAACTTACATTATGGCATCTGTGCTTATTTTAAATCTTTTGGTATGTCTAACTAAACCCAAGACAGTCTTGGCGTATGGGGGAAATTACATGGGTACCTAAAGGCAATGAAAGAAAAAGAAGAATATAAGACAATTTATATTTCTAATTAGCTGACCTGGCGAACTCTGTTGTTCCGCCTTAAAGGCAATAAGTAAGCAAATCTTTCCTTATTTGCTCTCCGTTTAGATCTACCCTGGACTACGACAAACATTTTAACACCAAAATCAGCTCAATCGGCCCAGCCGTTCTCGAGTTTTAATCAGACTAACGAACATCAATTCATTTTTATTTATATAGATAGATAGATAGATAAATAGATTATTTATAGATAACTTAATCGTTACCGTGGTATGAAAAGATATGAAATAACATTTTTCTCTGCAGCTCTGTGCTGTTAAATTTATTGATCCACAGTTGATTAAATAAACTTACGTGGTTAAAGTAGAAAAACTTGACAAACTTATGAGTCAAATCAAAGCAAACGCACCGCAACGTATTTCTTCTTCGCCAACAGCGCTAGGCCCAGATTAGTGTGCGCTGCCACGCAACTCGGGTGCGCTGCTAAGGCCGCCTTCAGCCTCGCCAGGGCCGCATCTAGGTCTCTGTGCTGCAGCATCATGGCCGCCAGGGCCAACGCTGCGGCGTGCTGCGTCGGCTGCTGTGCTGGTGCAGCACACAACGCAGAAGTATTTATGCTGGCTGCAGTAGAAAATCTCTTCTTTACAAACCTATGGGTCAAATCAAAACAAACGCACCGCAACGTATTTCTTCTTCGCCAACAGCGCTAGGCACAGATTAGTGTGCGCTGCCACACAACTCGGATGCGCTGCTAAGGCCGCCGTCAGCCTCGCCAGGGCCGCGTCTAGGGCCAACGCTGCGGCGTGCTGCGTCGGCTGCTGTGCTAATTCAGCAGCCGACGAAGAAGTATTTATGCTGGCTGCAGTAGAAAACCTCTTCTCTACAAACTTACGAGTATGTGCCAAATCAAAGCAAACGCACCGCAACGTATTTCTTCTTCGCCAACAGCGCTAGGCCCAGATTAGTGTGCGCTGCCACACAACTCGGGTGCGCTGCTAAGGCCGCCTTCAGTCTCGCCAGGGCCGCATCTAGGTCTCTGTGCAGCAGCATCATGGCCGCCAGGGCCAACGCTGCGGCGTGCTGCGTCGGCTGCTGTGCTAGTGCAGCAACCAACGCAGAAGTATTTATGCTGGCTGCAGTAGAAAATCTCTCCTACAAACTTATGGGTCAAGTCAAAGCAAACGCACCGCAACGTATTTCTTCTTCGCCAACAGCGCTAAGCCCAGATTAGTGTGCGCTGCCACACAGCTCGGGTGCGCTGCTAAGGCCGCCTTCAGCCTCGCCAGGGCCGCATCTAGGTCTCGGTGCTGCAGCATCATGGCCGCCAGGGCTAACGCTGCGGCGTGCTGCGTCGGCTGCTGAGCTAACGCGGCGCCTAGGAGTTGGAAGGCGCGCCGAGGGTCGCCCGCTCGTAGGCGAAGCGCACCGGCTGCTGCTAACGTGTCCGCACCACAAGCGTGGTTGCTAGAAAGTGAGGAAATGGGATCTTGAAAAGTTTGATTCATTTCAAAAGATCTTAAATTCAGGATTGGACTTTTCTCTGCAATTTTTAGCAGGACAATCCATAAAATAAAGGAGCTTACGACTTGTATCGTATGAAACAACGCTCTAAGCTCGATAGATAGAAAAAAGTCTGATCAGTTGATACTTGAGTGTCTTTCTTTTCAAGTCTCGCAGACCATCAGTTTGATCCCTACAATACTTACGATAGTGCCTGGTCATAAGCGTTCAGAGCGCCAGTGACGTCACCAGCAGCCAGCAGTAGTCGCGCCAGCAGCGCCCCCGCGCGCTCCGCACCCCCTGCCTGCACCCCCGCGCGCGCCCACTCCACCCCCCTCTCTGTGTCGCCTAACTTCCATGCACATTCCGCTGGAGACCACACCAGGGAAGTGAAGAATAAAGATTTCATTAATGTCTTCCTTCCTTTCAATTGCCCTACTTTCCATCATGAATACTTAATTATGAGGTAGCTAACAACTTTTTAACGTCACAATCCTATGGTATCAGATTTTATGATTCAGAAAATCAGAAACTGGTCAACTGGGGTTAATAATGGTAAGTTAAGAAAATAATGTTAAGAATGCTAGATCGATTGCGGTCGACTCAGCAGTCCCAGCTTAGCAGTCCAGCAGCGATTATGATAGTAGACTTACTTCACAGCACAAGCATAATAGAGCAGCACTTTTAACTAGGCTAGACCGACGACGGCATTTATCTATCTACCTTCAATTTACCAACTAGGTAATTTGAAAGCAACAAAGTCATTCTGATACCGAGAAGTAGTTTATTTACCTAAAGCACAATAAATCTCCGGGTCAGGATGCTTGGTGAGCTTATCAGCTTCTAGGTACGCCTCCAGGGACAGCTGGTAGCGACCTTGACAGAACCTGCAAAAGTAATTATTATACCTTCAATGAAACCACTACTAGGTCATCATTAAAAACCTGTAGCAGGGAATATCATTGAGTCCCAACTCACAAGCATTTAGCGACTTGCTTCAAAGGCTCAGGGTCTCGAGGCTGCAGACGGATGCAGCTGTGGAACCGCTCCAGGGCCTCCTGGTAACGGCCTGCATCTGCTAGCACTGAACCCTGGAACAAACCAGAAATCCTCATTCTATGCGAAGGATTTTTCTCATTTGAAAATGTAGGTAAATAACTTTCTTTATTTCTTTCTTTCTTTCTTCCTAAATATTAATGACTACCCTTAAATTATAGTATATGTAGTGTTTGTATCTACGTACTAGATAGATACAATACGCTGTCTCACGTACACAAGTGATAGGCAGTGTGCACATTTACAAGTGGCGACGAGGATAAATACACATTTTTTGAAAAATAAGGAAAATAAAAGGTCAGTAAAATACATATTTTTGAAATAATAATTAATTTGTAACAAACCTGCCATAATAATTAAAGTTCAGTAATGTGTCTGATTTCATCGAGTTATGGATAAAATAACGATTATTCTGCTTTGGAAAGGGCATAATTATTTTGTTGTATGAGAATAGTCAAGTTAACAGGCGAAAACATTTTGGTTTTTATCATTATAAAATCAGATTTTATTAGAAATACATACGTATTATCAGCTTGAAAATAGCAATAAAGTGATTGGTGATAATAAGTAGCGATATTAGAAATAAATAAGTATTCAGCAGAAATCGGCCAAAACAAAATAAAATAAAAATAAATAAAAAGAAAAGTAATCAGACCTATGGTAAAGCGTATCTACGAACTTTAATGTTGTTTATAACATAAACTACTTCCACCCACTCAGTTTGTCTAGATTTTTAACGTATAACTTAGTACTTTATGAATAGACATACCTACTCACATGAAGTTAAACGCTGTTAATGTCGACGGCGTCCCAGCATTCGGTATTTATAAAAAGAAAGAATCGAACAACGTTCTGCGGCGGTATATTTGTAGTATTATATTGCACAATTAAAAGTGGATCCAGCAATTGGTCAACGGGGTCCGGTACAGGTGGAAGAATTGGTGAAAAGGGAGTCCTTTTATAGTTCTTAAGTAGTAATTTAAACAATGATGGTGGAGTCTGGCTCGCCAGTCTTGTTTTCACATAAATCTAGTCTAAGCCGCATGACTGATCTGGTTACCTCAGAAATGTTATCGTCATTTGGACACAGAAATAAGTGTTGTTGTCACTGGCTCTCACCGTGACTTCACGGGTGGAGTGCATGAAGCGCTTCTTTGAAGGCCTACTAGTGGATTGTCACCATTTCATATAGCATTCATTGCTCTTATTGTGCTGCAAATAAAACAATGAAAATCGATCGGATGGAACAGATGGTAATTTGTAATCGTTTTGAATATTCAAGGTAAGCAATCGAATCTAAGATCTTTCTACAAGAGCGCGGTCCGAGCAGGGTAGAACTTGCGTTTAGCCAGAGGACGTTGTCTGCTAGATGGATGCTTCCCCTGAGGATATCCATAGTGACAGATTCTGAGTTTGGGCCGGGCTTGTTGGTGGCGGTTCCGCCAGGGTTCCTTTGATGTTTATTTACCAATATTATTCGTTTTTTTAAATAAAAGTTATTTATTTCAAGCATGGGCCATAAAAGTATTAGTAACAAAGTTCTTAGAATCTACGTTAGTAAATTACAATACAACTACAAGATTACACACAAGTAAAATATGATAGTTTTAAATCTTTGAAGTCCCTCACGGTTTCTGGTTTAAGAAGAACGTTATTTTCGTTAAGAATTACAATTCATTTACTGATAAATATGCTAATTATCAATTAAATGATTTATACTAGAAATAAACTGATAAAACATTAGCTATAAACATTGCTTAAGCGCTAGAATAATGAGCGTAAAGAGCACCTGCGGATTTACATTAAACGATTCAATAATTTATATCCTCTTATCATCATCATCAACAGACCTTTGAAGTCCGCTGCTGGTATAGACCAGCAGCCTCTTCCACTTTGGTGCAAGGTTTTGTCATAAGTCTTCACGCTTGGCAGGCGATTTGGAGAACGTAGTTTTTGTTTGGGATTCCTAATAACAAGCGTGTATTGAGTATGCAACATGACCGTTATAGGAAGATGCCTGAGGGCCCAGTACCTTTGAAATAAAATTGTAAGTGAAAAATAGTTAGATTGGATGTTCTCAATTCGTTGGGTTGGAGACTGTA